ATTTGAAATGAGTGATGGCAAATTGGCAAATAATTCAAATAATAACAGTAATAGTTATTTATAACAGTTACTACAGTAACAGTTACTATGTATGTACAATAACAGGAACAAGCTGTTACTTGGAAGAAAAAATAACAGTTATTGTTATTTTTTGTTTTGATTTTTAAAATTAATAGTAACAAAGCTTATAAAAATATTGTGATTATAAATAAAATTATTTTTTTAATTGGGCAATGAATAACTTCCTATTAGGAATTTTATATTAAAATGTCAATCAATTTTATCCAAAGGTATTCTTTTTATCTTTTAATCAATGTAAAAATAGAAATTTCAATTGTCTTTAAAGAATTATAAAAGATTCGGAATATTTTGAAATTTTTTATATCAATATTTTGTGAAAATTTCATACAAGTATCTATTGAGTAGGTACAGAGTGATTTTTCTATTATGAAAAAATTATCTATTTTAATTAAATTAACACTTTTGAAAATATTTCTTTATATAATTTACAGTAAAAAAAAATTTGATTGTTATATTTATTAAGTTTTTTACTTTTTTGAATAATAACATACATTTTTAGTTTTATATTCTAAAACAGAATATTTTTCGGAGTATTTTGATACATAAAAAACGAAATTCAAACGAGTAGTTTATAAGCTACAAATATTTAAGACTTAGTGAACAAAGTAGTAGGCCAATATTTTGAGAGGTATTCACCTATGCTTTAAAATTTAAATACTTAAAACTCAAAAACTGCTCGTTCGAATTTCAACCATTATGTATTAAAATATACCAAGAAATAATTTGCTTTAGGATATAGAATTAAAAGTGTAAGTTTTCATTAGAAAAAGTAAAAAAATTAAAAAAATTATAAATATGTAAGTAATGAAAAAAAAATAATAAACATTTTTTGTTTCATTTTAATTGTAAAATTGTAAAAAAGAAATATTTAAAAAAATATCAATAGTTTTTAAAATAATGAATGGTTAATGCATTCTCTAGCCATGAGATTATGAGAATAATATGAGACTGACTTGTCGTAATAGATAATTAAATGTTAACAAATTACAAACCGTTGTGAAGATAGGGGACTTGTAAATTGTACATTTTGCAGTGTTTGCACTCATAAAAGTACATTCGAAAATAGAACTATTAAGGGCCACACACACGGAACAATTTATCGACAGACTTACCGTCAAACCGATCGGTCGATTTGTTGTCAAACATCGTCTACTCCACACACGAATCGACTTGTCTATCAACTATTCACCGCGATGCACAGTAGTTCAATTACTTCCTAAGTGCGAAGTATTGATGTTGTGTTTTCGTATATTGTAAATTTTATATTTTTCAAAATTTTTTACGAGTTCACACAATTTCTAACTTAATGGAAAGGAAAAGAAAAGCATTAGTTATAGCTGATCTTGTTCTGGCCGTGGACGATGAAGACGAACAAATTAAAAAAAGGAAATGGTCAAAGCAGTGGTTATTGGAGAGGAGAAAATATTCACATATGAATTTGTTACATGAGCTTCAATCAAATGAACCTGCAGATTTTAAAAACTATTTACGTATGGAAAATCATACATTTCATGAGTTGTTGGATCTAGTTAGACCGTTTATAGAAAAACAAAATACTATAATGCGAGAAAGTATTTCTGCGGAAGAGCGTTTAGTAGCAACATTGCGATTTTTGGCAACTGGTAGAAGCTATGAAGATCTTAAGTTTTCATGTGCAATATCTGCTCAAGCTCTGGGAAAAATCATTCCTGAAACTTGTTGGGCTATATATGAAGTATTAAAACAGAAATATTTAAAGGTTAGTAAAATTTTGTAAACTGTATATCATAATTAAAAAATAATAATAATATATTACCTATATACCATAAAGCAAAACTATATCCTATTAGAAAGGCAAAAGGCACTTACTTTTGAATTTGGATACTTGAAATTTTTTAAAACCATTTTGATTAAGAGATTTCCAATTTTTTTAGTTTTACATTCTGAGCGGAGCGATGAATGTTTTGATTTTACAATGATGTGTGTTTTATTTTTATTTTTAAACCGTTTTAAATTCAAATTACCACAAAATTTATTAAATTGAAAATTGACAAATATTATTCAGTTGTTAAAAATGTATAAAACGTTCAAATTTTATAGCTAAGGATTGAAAATTTAATACAAGGTTCCTTATAAGTTGTTCTTATTATAGTTAAGGTTAGTCACAAATTGTTTTTTAAGCGTTTATAGTTTTAATTTTTACGATATATGTCAAAATCGCGAAAATTTGCAAGTAATTTTGTAGTTGACAAATCATTATAATGTTTGTATTCATATCTAAGGTTAAATAATTCAACACTAAGTTTTCCATAAGTTTTTCTTCAAGTAACTATAGAGAAAACTCGGAGCATTATTATAGGAAAAATTTTAAGTGCATTTTAATTTTAAATTTTTACGAAATTGCGTAACAATAACGATTTATCCTCAACCGATTTTAAATATTTATTATTATTTAAAATTTTCTTTACATAATTGAATTTTTAAAATATTCACTTATTTTAATGCTATTTATCGGCATTTGAAATATTCGTTTTTGTTTAGTTTTTTTTTATAAATATCGATAAAATTTTTTAGCCGAGTCAAAATACATGACAATTTGATACAAAGTTCCTCATAAGTTAGTGATTAAAAAATTATAAGAATACATTAGCACAAATTTATTTTATTAGCATTTGAAGGTCAAATATTGACAAAAATTTCGTTAAAATCATGAATATTTGAAAATTATTTTGTAGGTATAATTCATAATTTAATACAAAATTTTCCATAAGTCTGGCTAAAAATAATTATAAAAGAACTTAAATTTTGAATTATTCATGCCATCAAAACATAAATCACCTTTTATACCAACCACTGTAAATTATATCATATACTGAGAAATCATCTCCGTTCAGAATCGTTTTTCGTATACGTTACGTTAGTGATACCTATCATTGGATTAAAATTTAATACATCAATAATTATAATGACCTACTATACAGTAGAGCGTTACTCATGTGACTACTTTTTTTTTTTTAATTGTCAGTAAAACATTTTTCTTTTGTATATAATCTTGAGTCTTGACAATTTAATACTATCTTTTGTACAAAATTAGTTTGCTACAAATATACAGCCTTTAATAATGTGTTATGATACTTTGTAAATCCTATAGTAGTTAGTAAATACGTTTATTTAATAACACTTACTTTGTAGTTAATATCATGTTTCGTAGAAATAATCAAATAAATAAAGATTTATTTATTTTTTAAGATACCAAAAACAGAAATAGAATGGAAGCAAATGGCAAAGGATTTCAAAATGTTATGGGATTTCGATAACTGCCTAGGAGCAATTGACGGGAAACATGTGTTGATCACAAAACCACCACTAAATAGTGGATCATATTATTTTAATTATAAAGGGACATTTAGTGTAGTACTTCTAGCAGTGGTGAATGCAAATCTTGAATTTATTTATGTGCATTGTGGTACAAATGGACGAGTTTCCGATGCCGGAGTTTTAAAAGAAACTGATCTATACCGGTCATTAGAAAACAACGAGTTAAAAATTCCTCCACCTCAAAGTCCACCAAAAGTTGGATATAAGCTACCGTTTGTTTTCATTGGTGACGAAGCATTTCCTCTCATGGAAAATTTAATGAAACCGTACGGAAAACATATCGCAGGTCATGATGAATACATATTTAATTACAGACTTTCTAGAGCGCGACGGGTTGTTGAAAACGCTTTTGGTATTTTGGTTACAAGATTTCGAGTTTTCTTATTACCATTAAACATTAGTGTTGAAAACGTTGATGCAGTTGTAATGGCGAGCTGTGTATTACATAATTTTTTACGTAAAAAATCTAGTACGTATTATACCTCAGCAAATTACATTGATTTAGGAGATACAGAGTCAGGTAATATAATTTAAGGGCAATGGCGTCAAATTGGTGAAATGGTTGCTCTACAACGGTCTTTAAGTTATACACCTCAAGATGCCAAACTTGTAAGAGATAAGTACAAGGAATATTTTAACAACGAAGGAAAAGTATCTTTCCAAGAAAATATGATACATTACAGATAAACTATAAAATATAATATTCGTATTAGATGTAATATGAACCTGTGTATTATATACCTACCTTTAAAATTAAATTAACATTAGGTATATTATTCATTTTTCAATAGGAACATAAAAAAAAATATAATATAAAACATTATTTAATGTGACAAAATAATAATAATCACTTTTTACGTTCCACAATGCCGGATGTTTTTTATATTCATCAATAAAATTGGCCACAAACGTCTTATAAAATTCCAAAGCCATTGTCATAAGTTTAAAAACTTTAAAAAAATAAGTAATGGACCGAATTCAAACCAGGACCCACTCAGTACTAAAATATAATGTACACCAACGCTTGGTTGATATCGACAACACCATACACGCACACACGAGTTTGTCGACATGTCGGAGATTGTCGACGCGCAGACATAACAACACGACGACCAACAGGCCCATACACGTATCAATCTGTCTGCTCGACGGCGTTTGACGATAAGTCTGTCGATAAATCGTTCCGTGTGTATATATTCTTACTCTGTGATAAATACCCAATACCTATTATAAATATTATACAATATTATAACCGGTTCCCACTTCTTTTAAAAGTACAATCAAATCAGGATTCACATTTCAGTATTTCACGGTATTAATTACGTTTCTACCCGGCGGGGCTCTAGCCGCGTGAAATAGTTTCGCGTGTTCAAACACAGTATCCTCGTCATGCGCACCTCCCCCCAGAGAGCGCACTGAGAGCACTGACCGATCGCAAACCGGACAGAATAATGCAGTGCAACGCACAACAGTCGCCGTCGTCGTCGTTCCACTCGTACCTGATCAAGGCCCTCGACGCGTGCCACTGGATCGGCCACCTCAACGATCCGCTGTCGCCGTACAACGAGTTCGACGATTGGCTGGTGGCCAACCAGTCCTGTGGCGGCGGCGGCGGTGGCGCCAAGACGTGTCCTTTTGTCGACGTCTTCCTGTGCATGGTGCTCAAAGCCCGGCAGGCCGTGGCCGCCGCGGCTGTGATCATGCTCGGCGTCATCGTCATCGCCGTCCGGTCGGCGCAGTTCGTCGTAGGTCGCGCCAGCCGGCCGCTACGGGCTGCCTGCAAGACACACGACAGGACCAAGCTGTACGCCCAGGCGGCCGCGCTGTGCGCGTTGACCGCGTTCGTCCTGCTCGCCGTCTACCGGCCCGCCTACCACGCGTTCGTCATGATCACTGGCGTCGCCGTGTGGTCCGCGGCCGCGCTCGGCGTGTTCGTCGGGTTCGTGTGAAACGACGTTGTGTCCGCCGTGCCGCCACCGTCGTGTCCTCGCACGACGAGACTTGCACCGGACGAAGCGCGTTCCGGATGAGTTCCTGTTGTAATGATATGCTCACATATCATTGTTTATTACATATACATAAAATTCAATCAAATAAATTAACGGTCAAGTTGTCGCACGCAGACTAAACCCTATAAATATCCTTTCGCCAACAAAGGAATTGACACATGAGTTGTGACAATATCTCGCAAAGCGTGTGAACCAATTTCGTTAGCCAGCGGAAACGGGCCATGGTACAATGAAGCTCTCTGTCGTCTAGAAGAAAGACTATTTCTTCGAAATAACGCTGAGTCCTTTTTATGATGGCATCGCCTGCGACTCTGGCTGGCTTGACCAGTTCGTCTTCTCTCGGCAGTGCACGAGTACCAGCCAAGCTATAAGTGCATGAGCACCTGCCAAACTATCGAGTTAGGAATTAAAAGGCAGCGTATTCGATTGCCCTGATAACTTTATTATCACTTTATTACACTGTAAACGAAGTTTTTTTTTGAGCGGATTTTTAATATTTTTTTTATCATAATATGCCCGGTAAATGGTTTCTAGGTAACTGTTGACATTTAAAAATGATATAAAGTATATAAACATTTATATTTTAATTTTAATAAGAATAGTCAAAATTGTGAAAAATTCAAAATTAAAAAAAATTAACTCAAGTTCAACAAAAACTATCAGAGAGATGGATTGCAATTGTATGTATCATTCAATTATTAAATTCATCTTTAGTGTGATTGTATTTTTGAAATCCACACTATGGCTACGTCCAGAAGATAATAAAAATTTAACATTGACATTAACTGTTGTTAATAAGTCATCGGATAAGCTCACTATAATATGTGATGAAATGCACGAAGAAAATCAAACGTTAGACAAGATTCAATGTTGCAAAATTTCATTGGAAAGTTTAGAGCCGAAAAATTGTCATGTTTGTGGTAAATTAAAAAAAATAAAAAATAAGTGTAGTGCTACTAAAAAAACTAAACCCTGCTGCAACCGTAAAATTCGATGTAAAACGGTTGACATTAGTTCGTCAATCCTGAACATGTGTCCTAAAACTAATGAAGCTATTGGTAAAATATGTAATAAACTTTCTTATATTATTAAGAGAGTCAGTCATATTATAGATACATTACCAAATAAGAATGACTCATCGAAGGATTGCAGTTCTGTTACGATTCAATCTAGTATAACTGATATAAGTCCTCTCAGCGAAATAAGTGGTTCAAAATCGTCATGTAACACACAATCGGTTAAAAACGATCATGAGAACTCATTACAAAAAACCGTCATTCAAACGAGTACCAATGAAATACCTATCAAAAGTATACCCGATACACAAGTACAAACAACACTAACGGATTGTCCAGTGGATATTCCTAGTGAAGAAAATCTACTTAAAGTAATGGATTGTGACAAGAAATTAGATTGTAAGTTGCAATCGATCGATGTATGTAAAGAGATTGAGGATACAAATCAAAAACAAGACTGTAATATTGATAATCAAATTGCTATTAAAGACGATGAAAAAGATCAAAACACGTATACCAAAGTGCCTGCTAAACCTAACATGCCCGTAACAGCAGTTAAAATAACTAAAAACATAAATACACCAATTGTTCCAGTTACTTCAAACAAATCAAATAAGGGAACATGTCAGATTAAAGTCAAACAAGCTGTGAAAAAAATAAATAAATAAATCTACTCAACGGTACTCGGTAGATTTAGAATTAAAGACTTATAGAAGGAAAAACAACTTAAAACGCATAAATGTGTAAAGATGAAGTAAAAACACTAAAAATAATATATTATTGAAAGTAGGATGAAATAGCCAATTCAAAAATCTAGTCCTACTCCCTCTCCCCGCTGCTGCTGCGACGCCGTCTATTCCTGCTTCCTGCTACTGCCACCGCCAACATCTTCACTCCCACTCCCTGCCACCGTACACATCACAAAAGTCATAATATTTATTAAATCCATTGTTTTATCAGTTATCACGTTGTTATCAATTATCACATTGTTATCAGTTATCAGTGTTATCGTATATTTGTATTATTTTAAATATTATTTTCCGTCAACCACACCCCGTTATTCAAATACTTGTCCGCATATAAAGAAACTGTTTAAGTTAATAATTTGATTCATGTAACGGAGACTTCAAAGGTGAAATTTTTTGCATTTTTTTTTTTGCATATTTCAATATTTTTTCTTTTTTAGAATATATTTTAGTGTTTTTTAGTAATTTTTTTCTTTTTTAATGCATATTTGTACAATATACAAATATAATATATAGTATTTATACATATTACGGCCATAGATTTAATATACTTAAAATATAAAATTTTTGATAAGGTTCATTTTTTTCCATGTTTTTTCATACAATTTATAAATCGTTCTATACATACAATATATATTTCTATCTTTATTTATTATCATCCAATCCATCTTCGCTAGTCGTAAGTCAAATTTTTCGATTTTCAGTTTTATCTTTTAATAAAATTAAAATATTATAAATTACCAATAAAACAATAATTTAATAAAAATGTATACATTTTTTTTTAAGTACATATTTCCGGTAAAATTCATTTAAAAAAGGCATTTTTAGCTTTTTTTTTAGAGAATTTTTCAATAAATTTTAGTGTGTTAAAATTCGGCCCCTAATGATGAGTTATATCAATGTATTAAGGTGGTGCGGTGGCAAAGCCTTCACAGGTCTGCCTTGAAGTATTTTTTGATATCCCTCCCCCGCAAGACATTCTGTATTACGCCACTGGTCTCCACCACCAATATTTGCTATAAACAACCAGCTGTGGAATCAATGTACTTAGTTACTTGTACAAGTGCTCAATTATTGACGTATTTGGCAAGTATACCAGTTGTGGAAGCAGTATACTTGACTATATTTTGTACAAATGCTCAATTATTGGCGTACCTACTTGAAAAGTACACCAGTCGAGGGAATGTGGCTATTTATACTCTCCTACACGTCTCACCCTCGCTCCGTGATTTTCAGTCTTAATAAATTTTCAGCATTTACTTTTTTTTTTTAAATGTCTTAAAATATTATTTCTCATTTACTTTTAAATATGATCAGTTCAATCGCTAACATTAAAACAATTTACAAACAGAAGAATTTTACATAATAATATGTATCACCAACACCGCCTACAAAGCTCATTGACTACAGTAATTTTATACTCGACTTCACCGATCGCAAGTTTTTAAATGTGGGATTTGATTCAGGAGATGAGTTTAATATTGTGATTCATATAATGACACTATTGCGCTATATGAGCATGTATGAAGATTTTTTAAGACGTATATTCTCAGGATATACCTACTGTCAGTTATATTAGATGTGCCACAAAAGGTTAGGAAACAAATTTTTCTGGAAAATAAGTTTACCACCTTATCAAACATGATATGTCGAGAGAAAATATGCTCATCCTAGAGTCGAAGAAAAAAGGAAGATGTCATGTATTGCTCGATAGAAAAAATTTGTTGAAATTACAATATCTAGAGGAGAGTATTTTTGAAACGACCATATGAAAAACCAATATCATACGACCTGCAATTGTTTTAAATCGATTTGCTATGATAGGTAATTTAATTAATCAGTGGCGTAATTATGGGGGGAGATATGGGGATATATCCTCCCAGAGGCTTTTTTTTTTTAGAAAATTTTAATTAAATTCCTGTAAACACAAGTCTAAATTTTTAAATCCAAAACATCATGATTTCAGTTTTCAAGAAATTTAAATATCAATATAATTATAAATCAACTAATTTTTATTTTTAAAACCAATGTTTAACTTTGTTTTGAAGCATTGGGAATTATTTTTATATTATATTCTTTTAAATTAGTTTTATTATTAATCATTTTCTATTATTATACCAACATGTATTTATTGTGATCGGCTGACTCGAGTCTCAATAGCAGCTTATAGTGAAAACTGAAAACATGTTTTAAAGTTTCATAGTTTAAAACTATTATTTATTTGTTTTATACGTATATTTATTTTTCGACATTTGTATTTATTTTTCATCCGCGAACGATTCAAAATTAAAAGTGTTTTAGCAGCTTATTAAAATGGATACATTTCTTGTAAAAATATCGAAGTCGAAAGTAAGTATTTATTTTTTACTTTACATTCATATAATTGTTTAGTACACGTATTTCTTCTTCTTCTTCAGCTTATCGGCCCATTAAGTGCCATCGCTGCCATCACAAAACCTCTCCATTTCTCTCTATCGTATGCGTCGTCAAAAGATGACGCTTCCTCTATGTTTTTTATATCTTGAGCTATAACGCCCACCCATCGGGTCCTTGGTCTTCCTAATGGACGTTTTTTATTTATTGTGTTAATTAAAACTTCTTTTATTACTTGTCCATCCGCTCTCCAAACATGACCGAACCATTCCAGACGCTTGCTTCTTATATATGCAATAATATTTGGCCTGTTATATAACTCAGTACACGTATTTAGTATGTATTAAGTTCAAAGTAGGTACTTAGCCCTTAACATATATTACTGATTAATATTATATTAAAACTACAATTTTGTCAAACAAAACAATTTACGTATATTTGATCTTTAAATTAATTATCAGGTAATATTATATAATTGAGAAAATTAAATTTATTTTGGTATTTATATTTTTTATTATTTCGATACTAATTGTTGTACCTGCTTATTAGAAAAATACTAATATAAATACTGTGCAAAATGTTAGCTTATCTGAAGAAAACCTACATATCCCAGCCAAAAGATCAAAAATGGTAAATATAATTAATACTTATTTTCATATCATATATTTAATAATCATATACAGTTTATTGAAATTATATTTATATAAATTTAATATAATTAAAAATTTTAGGATATTTTGTTAAATACTTCTAGGTACCTTAATTCAAAGTAAAAATTGTGTAACTAGTTATGTTAAAATAAATAATAATTAATGTTTTGGTTACTTTGTGTAATATAAAAGTGATAAATATATATTTAAATTATGTTTATTTTAATTGTATTGATCATTTTAAGATATTCTACCAAATGCCAAGGATAATCAAATTCAGAATGCTGTATCTAGTCAGATTAGTTCATCAAAATCAGATCAAACTACAAATATACCATTGGTAAATAGATTAAATTAATTATTAGGTAGGTATTATTATTTTATTGAGTAAATTAAATTTATTTTGATATATTACAAGACGTAGGTATTGTCTTCTTCGGATATATCCGTTGACAAAAAAGATAGTGTGCGAGCGCACAATATTGCATGACTTATTGTTGTACATCTTTTTTCCTATTCATTCATATTGCCTCTTTTATTTTTATTTTTAATTTTTATTTATTTTAAAAATAACGATATATTGTGTGGTATATTTTCATTAATATCATCGATATTTTTTGATTTACTGGGAGATGTATATAACCAAAACAGAACGAATGTTATCTCTGATAATTGCTACTGTCTCTTCACAACACGTAGACGTTCTTCTGATTGATTAGATTTTTTTGTTTTCATACCACCATTGACTTATCATTTTTTTCGTCTATCTAGAAATTGGCATTGTGTATTTCTTGATTTTTGTTTAGAACTTTTGATGAATTTTTTATCCTTATCTTGTATGTGTTAATTTTAGTGTTAATAATTGTAGTAACATTTTTTCTATAATTTCTTCTTACTTTTTTCAATTTAATTATACTTTATTAGCATACCGACCGACCTATGTAAATCGTGTGTATACATGTACGTATATAGCACTCAATAGAAAGTGGACAGGGTCGCCGAGCAAATCCTGTGTGTGCTAGTGTGTATATGTGTGTGTGAACTTAAGCTAAGGTAAGGTTAGGTTAGCTAAGGCAAATAGGTAGCTCTAAGTTACGGTAATGAAATATATGGAATAATAAATAAGTACAAAAATAGATTACGGTTCCTTTGGCTCAACAAGTAAAAATATATATAATACAGGAAATCTAATAGAGCTGCAATATAAATATATAGTAAAACCTCCCTTATCGGACAGCTCTAATAATAGCGGACACCTCTGAATAGTGATTTTATGGGGACGGGGACATTTCACAACTTTCATATAAGAAAACCCTTAAATACCGGACAATTATACTAATTCTAATTATAATTAGACATTTATGGCAATTTAATTTTAATTTTAACAATTTTTATCGTAAATATAGAATAATTGTGTGAAATAAACCTTGCAAAGACTGGGCACATGACAAAGCACAAAGGGCGGCTCATCGGACGTGAGATAGGTTAGCGATCGCCAATTATTATCGTTAATGGCGATGTAGATAAATATTAGGTCGTGTGTGACGTGTGTGTCGATCAATACACAGAATACTTCATTGTTCTCTAACGCAGTTGAATTAGAAAATGCCTTGATACACAAAATTACTATGCATCAAAAACAAGCTAAAATAATATTAATTTTTGTTTTAAAATTATTTTTTTTACATTTTTACATGCATAATATCATAGTTTTATATCATAATTTTAATAATACAAAAATACAAATATCATTATTATAAATTTTAGTATTGTATAAATAATAAATGTTGTACATATGTAATAATTAATTTCTCCGAGTTATTTTTAAAAATTTACCCCTTTTCCTTCACGCCCTCTGAATAGCGGATACCTCCAAATAATGGACAAAATTACGGCGACCGAGAGTGTCCGGTATTTAGAGGTTTCATTGTAATAATGATATTATGTGGTCCTTTCGGCTCAATAATGTAAACGATTTTTCTGGATCTAGCAAAGGCCTTTGTCACAGAAAATGACAAAAAACTTATTTCTATTTTACTCAACTTTGGTGTTAAAATTAACTGTTTAAAGTGGTTTGAAAGTTATTTGACTAATCGTAGCCAATCCGTTATAATAAATGTCATTGGTAATGAACTTTCTTAGAACTGTAAAGTATCCCTGAGTAGTATTCATAACTTCTGTTATTCATTTTATACATTAACAATATATGTACCTAACCTTGATATTAATGGTTTAATTGTAACTTGTAATCTATGTAGATGAGCAGAGCGCCACAAGATTCAATTAATAAGAGGCTCCCACTAAATAAGTACCTTAAGCAGTAAGTTTCATCATCTTTTTTTTTTCGCTAGTTATTAACTAAAAATATTTTTATTTTTCTATAAGTTTCACAAATCTTAAATGAGTAAACGAATCATTAGATTGAGATTGGTAATTTTTTACTATTCCTGTTTGATTATTAATTGAATTACCCATCAAAGACGGGTGATGTCTTGTAATTGTAATACCTAGTTATTTTTATTTCAAAACTAAAATTATTCTGTGTATGATATAATAATTATTACACTATATTCAAAACATAGTTTTGATTTACTTTAGTTTATTAAAATTTTCAAAATCAGTATCAAGTATGTAAAGTAGGTACTTATACACAATAAGTAAAATTAATATGATAAGAAAATAATGTCGTGATGAGCTTGATTTAGGGAATTTTATTACCTATTAGTAGGTATAATAATATATAATTTTAAAGTATGTAAATCAACTAAAAAATTCTTCAATTGTGATGGCCCAGGGGCCCTCACAAGCTTAAATCGAGCTCTGTAAATAAATGTACAATAAGTATAAATACATAAAAAAAAATACTATAAGAATTCGAGGAATTTCTGGTGGACAATATATTGTCAGAAGCGCTTATACTTTTTTATTCGAATTTCCTCCTAAAATTTTTCACTTTTTATGATGTATATTTATACTGCAGAATAATTTAAAAATAAATGAGTTAAAAAATTGCATAAAAAAAGTACTGGAATTACGAGAGTTCAAAAATATAAATAATTTAATGTATTTAAATAAGTTTAAATTACAAACCTTGTTTATCTGTGCCACTTATTGAAGTTTTCGATCACCACAAAGTAATTTTTGGTTTGCTTTTGCTAATCTTGGTTTTTCTTTTTTTTTTCTCTAGCTTTTTTGCATTACCATTTGGGTTAGAGCGTTTCAATTTTTTCTGTTATTGTGTCATATGTACCACGACCGTAGTGCGAACAAGTACCAACTGTCAAATTTCATGCACCGTTGACTAAACTTCGTTTTGTTTATAATTTCATTATTATTATTTTTTTTGTATTGTATATTATTACGAGCTGTAATGTTTTTATAAAAAAAAAAAAAAAATAGAACAAACAATTTTTTATTAATATGATTATTTTTTATTTTTCCAACTACATTTAAGCTACAATTTATTAAAATAATAAAATAATAATCAATAAATAACAATTATAATATGTTGCTCTTTTTAAAATTGTTTTATATTTTTTTTACTAACATAATTTAATAATATAGGAATAACGAAATTAAAACAATACTATCTTTTAAAAACGGGATAAATAGCGTCCGGTTCGGAGTTTATGAGGACAACGGGACTTGATGATCAAAAAAGGGACCATCCCGTGTTAAATGGGACGTATGGTCAGTGGTCACCCTAGCTTAATATGGAAACACCGGATCGCAAATCGCAATTCGCAATTAAAATAAAACTTAATCGAAAATCACTATCTATTTGCGCTTTGTAATTTTTGCACTACTGTATAAATAATTAAACGATACAAATTATTTGTACCGTCTAATTGAAACGTATTGTTGTGTCGACATTTCATGCTGATTATCAGGGCACATATTTCCGTATGCTACGACAAACAAGATAAACAGACGAAATGCCTAACGGTCGAATTAAGACATAGGACCTCGTTTCGCTCGGTCCAAAATGCCTGTAAAACGGATTTTAAGTATTTTATAAAAATTTTAATCTTATTTTTAATTTTCAAGCTCAAGTTCAAAAATAATAAAAATGGAATAAAACGTATGTTAAATAAAAGTATGTTTTAATAAATCATACTTTTAATTACTCTTAAAGTCATTTTTAGTAAAAAATACACATAAAATATACTTATAAAAAACAAATCAATCATACAATATTTATAAAAAAATTGACGAAGACTTAAACAATATTTTAAAACTACGATTTATAAATGTAATTTCAAACATGAAACAAGTTCAATATATTTTTAAATAATTTCATAGATTAAACTAATTTTCTAACGCTTTTTAAAATAATAATATACAGTATAGGTATCTCAAATACCAAAAATTAAATCCATCAGTATATGTTTCCTAAAGTATTATAGAGTGTAAACATTTAAAGAATATACAGACTTAATAAAAACGTCATATTATTTCTTCTTTATAAAACATTATATTTGTTATTTTATTTGTTAATGTCGTGATGAGATATATCTTGATTGTCTACAGCTATTGGCGAGTTACCCTAAAAATACAATTACAAAATTATGTATTACATTTCATTAAAAAAAAGAAGCTATATAAGGGATTTTTATTTCTGATAAATATTGAGTGTATCTAAATGGTATATTGTTAGGCTTGAAAACTTACTTTAATACTTTTCACAACAACCAAAGACTTAAAAAATTAAAGAAGTATAGGATAATAAGAACTGAAGTATTATATGTTAACAATATTGATGTTCACCTTGTACCTATATTTTCTACTCAATCCTTAATATTAAAATGTTCAATATATTTCCAATGACAAAAAAATGATAAACTTCGTTCAATTCATAGTTAAAAACTAAACTTTTGTGTATGATATCTTAATACCTACGTATAGCTATAGTATAATTTTATGATTTCGTGGATAAAAATTGGCAGGCACATTTATAGGATTTTATCTGGATGATTACTATGTATAGTAAAAATAAAACATTTCTATTTTTGAAAATATTTAAATTTTTACTTGAATAAAATGTGGTAGTCCAAGTCTTTGATGAAATCCTGAAGTCGTCTGATAATACGGTGGTGGTGCACAACCTGTTAAATTTCTTATTAATATTAATAAATTAATACATTATTTTTGACTAGACTAAGTATTTTAGTCAACACCAAGATGTATATTTATACACCTATTGGTTAAAACTAAAATTCACAAAAAATATAATATCAAATATTTCGATTATCATGTTATGAAACAATAACTTATTTAATAATTAAAATTGATTGGTATTACTACAGGAAATACTTTATATTTTCATGCTTACTTAAAATTGGTCGGCGTTTATAAATCTCACAAAATTTGCACAGAGTATAACACATACAGCCGACGAATGATAGAATTATTAATACAATTAAAATAATTGGAATAAGACAAATTAATCTAAAATGTATAAAAATTATTCTATTAAATTAACACTCTTCCATAAAGATAATTTTGTTTAAATATAATGAAAATATTTTACCTAAACATGAAATACTCTTGATAATTGCAACATTCAACGTCTCCGTCTGTATTATAACAACAGTATTCCTTATTTGAGTCTCCAAACATTGATGGACATCTGTTGGCTGTCTTTAAAAACACTTCGGTGTAAAACGGATTAATTCGAGTCATCCATGGTGGAGTACAATCAGTGGACCCTTTAAATTAAATTGTTTTTTATTTTTACAGATAATGTTAAAGAATTGCAAGTTGTTTTTATTTATTTCCTATTGATGTTTTTACTTTAATTTCTTTTTTTTAAATAGGAATTTTTTTTTTTTTGTTAAAATGTAAAAATACACGTCACAATAATATTATTATTGTATTAGTAAGTCAAGACCTATTCAGAGAAACTAGTTTGATAAAAAAATCAACACACTCTAAAATATTGTATTTCTATTAACGCAACACACAAGTATTTCGGTTTTGGCATTTGTGTTTTTTTCTCTTTTTAATCATTTGAATGTTCTATAATGGAAATCCTATCACTTTGTATTATTATATAAATTGATTTGGCACCTAATTAGACAACTGCTTTTTATATTTTATATTACCCAATTTCCAGTGATATATTTATTTTTCCCCATTATGTGTAGTCTAAATGTAGAGTTATAAATTATTAGTATAGGTGTGACAAAAAAAGTGGTTGTTATTATAATATACTTATGCAGTTATACACAGATCGATAATAATAATAATAATAATAATATTAATAAAAAAAATCATTAATTACCTTTAGGTAACCGCTTTGTAGCAGTACAATAGGTTAAACCTATAACCTATAACTAGGTATAGAATGTATACTCGTTGAGTAAAAATATTTTCTTGTTTAACTACCAATTATCAACAAGCAAATACCTACGTATAAACATTTTTTTATGCTCCCCCAAAACGGGATAGTCCTGAGCCACTCTTTATATTAATCTGAACGGTTCTGAACTAAAATTAATACCTTTATCAAGTCCTGTGTTTAGAAAATTACGATGCGTAAAATTGAGTTGAAAGACGAATACTGTACCCATAGCTATATGAAAATATCGATTAGGTAGGTATTCTCATTTAGGTACGGTTTTCTTGTAATAAAGGCACCTATTATCATTATTATTATTATTTTTTTTTACCGTTTCCATTACTTAACAAAGTGACCATCTTCACAATAATAAATTTAATTTTTAAAAAACCTATGGCTAATTTTATTCAAATTTATTGAAAATCTAGTATCGCGATACTGCTTTTTGAGTATCTTGCCAAACCCAGTTTATTATCTGCATCAGTGGCGTGCCCAGGATTTTGAAATAGGTGAGGGGGAGAGTTTAAAAAAAAAAGTCATCAGATAAAAAAATTAGCTACACCTAACAATTTTTCTTTTTTTCTCGATCCGGCGGAGGGGGGGGGGGGAGAACCCATATCCTTCCCCATCCTATAGGTTTTACGTCATAATTTTTATAAAAATATTGTACGTTTTGGAACAGGAAATGAAATATTATGTTGGTTATTCAGTGCTGAAGTGTCTGATTGTTCCGGTCCGCCTAGACTTATATATTATGCAACTCATAAAAATACAGCATTTTTTGTTGACTGAGTTGTATATAGTAGGTACCTACCATGTATAACTGGCTCGTGTTTCATGTGATGTTTCACGAATGTTCGAATGGCCTATCCGAGTCCGAGGTTTTTTTTATATAAATTTAAAAACTCGATTTTTACAAATATTTATTGCATATTGCTCAGTATATTATATTATATAATATATTGTAGGTATGCAAGTAGGTGCGTTAACAAATAATTATTTCAAAGACATTTTATTTTGGATTTGAATTTGAATAGTTATTAGGATAAATGGTAATAATTAATAATTTGGTAATGAGTAATGAGTATTAAGTACTATGTTTAAATAAAAATCATCCTGTCTAGATTAGGTTACATTATATAATATTAATATATTTAAGTGATTAGGTACATGTCACGTTTGTATTGTTCGTAATATTTGTAAATTTAAAAATATACTAGAAATACAATTTTAGTTATGAATAATCCGTTTTATCTAAACCTTGAATTTAAATATGCACTCGACAGATGGTAAATAAATGTTTCATATTAAATCATGACTTAATAATATTCATAATGTATATGTATGTGATATATATATAGGTAGTATACGTCATACTGAATATTAATAACTAAACAATTAATACTTGATCAACAATATAATACAAAATATAAAATTTTAAGATTTGTAGATTGAATAAAATAAATATGTTTTTATTGTTTTCTGACTAAAATATACCTAAAGTCAATGTTTTTGAAATTTGGTGATAAGTAGGTACCTACTTACTTCACACTTTCACAGAATTAAAAATGATGATACTAATAAAGTATTAAAATAATATTCTATTTTAATTAAAACACTTTAATTAAGTAGGTAGCAAACCTATAGATTAGGTACCTATTGGTAATTAGTAATTACTGACTTTTTTAACATTTAAGGAATAAGGGGTGTGTTATAGAAATATAAACTTTTTTTCAAGCGCGAAATTTGGAAACCTCTTGTTTTACAGTGAATTATTAACTATTAAGCAGTATATTATCATAATTATAATAGTAAATTTAAACTTAAAAAAATTAATTTCTGATGTTCATGTACTTAATACCACAACTAAATGTTCTTATTAATAGTTTTAAACTATTTCATTAAATACAACAGTAGTTATATTTATATCTAGTATATACTTGATAGTTATTAGTAGCAACATTTTTTTATAAAATATTAAAATCTTAATATTTTATTTTAATAATTATTATTTTAATACCATACCTATAGAACAAAGCACCCATAAATATTTAAACCTATAATCATGACTATGGGTTGTTATCCTTATTTATAAATAGCTAATAGATAGGTTTATAAAATTGTATAGCTCAGAAATTAAACATTTAAATTTTAATTTATGTCCATAAACACAAAAAATAAAAATAAAAATATAATAAAATGGCCTTAAAGCATTTACAATAAAAATTAAAGAACCCATTTTGAACAAAGAAGTATTTTTATATCACCATGGGAAAATGTGTTAATAATAGCTAAGCTAAACTTGTGAATGGTAACTTTATATGGTCCATTATTTAAAATATAAAACGAGGAAACTTTATACTATTATATAAATAAGTCATGACAAATTATTATATTACCAGTTACCAGTTGAGCTCTACTGTTTATTACTTATATTATATCTTAATTGTATACATTTGTATTACATATTATTCATAAAATCTATATAAAATATTCCTTACCAGATATATGCATAGCCTGCAGCATAACAAAAATTAATATCACTGTTAACTTTTCCATTGCTATATTTTTTACTATAAAGAGTATAATAATAGGTAAGTATACTTCATAAGTTTCAGAATCATATAAAATGGTGGCAAAAATAAAATAAACTATAATGTATACATTATAATTTTTTTGTTAAAGTTAGATGATGAATTGTTGAAATGATAAAAAAATAGAAGCAGCACATTACACTCATTATATTTATATAGCGATTACATATTTGTTTGATAAATATCTTTCGTCTCAAGTAGTAGATACACACATAATAAACCCAACAACATCTATGTTATTATATAATTTAATAAAATAAAATAAAATATTTAAGTGCAAAACAATCAATAGTTAATAGATAAGTAGATATCATAGAATAATATTTATTAAAGGATCAGCACCAACATTACATTTTTCTCCACATTTTTATTTGTAGAAAAAATATTTTAGATTCAACAAAAACCCTTTTCATCCACCAACAATAAACTTTTAAATCTTTATAAAAACAAGAAACCTTATATGCAAAATTTTTTTCTTAAACAATCGGAAAAAAATCCGATAAAAAAATTAAAATCATTGTTTTAGGAGATCCAAGGTTGAAAAACTTTCATATTATTTGTGAATATTATAAGCATATTAATTATTGTTTATTATTGATGATTTGATGAGCAACAATAAAAAATATAGATCAAATTATAGTTTTTATTATTTTATAAAAATATTTAATATTAATAAAACATATGATATATTATAACTAGAGATCGGATTTTTATGATTTTACATATTTGTTTTTACTTTTTAGTGTAAACAGTTGAATGGGAATAAGAAATATTTGTGATTTATAAAACATAAAATTTATAGAAAAAATTGTATTTTGCATAAAAAAATTATATTTTAGGGGTTAGAGAATATTTAATAAGTTAGATAATATTTGAGAATAAAAAACAAAATTTTTTTGTAAATATTCTTCCAAAGAAAATATTTAATAAAATATTTTATACATAATTTTTATACACCATTCATTGTTATTACAGTTATTAATTGTTTTTTACAGAATATCAAAAGAATATTTTGCATTTTCTAAGACAAAATATTACATACTTACTATTTTAAAAGAATATTAAGATAATATAAATCCGATTTCTAATTATAACTATTAAACAAATAAACTATAAAACATATTTTTATTTAAGTTTTTAACTATAATATTATTAGTAGGTAAATTATAAACTATAACTTATATCAATCAACATTAAATTAGATATTAAATCTATGAACCCTCTATTTAAATATATAATTATATATAATGGCATATTGCACGAGGTGTTTAATCAAGCATTCATACCTCTATTTTTTACTATAACAATAAATTTACTTAAATTCTGATTTTTGGAAATTAAATTATACTTAAGTATCAACATTTGTAACACAACAGGACTTTCCTTTTAAAAAGGTTTAAAAAGTTCAAGTATTTGAAAATATGGTTCATAAGTATGTTTAAATATTCCAAAAATTAGAATTTGAATAAATTTATTATTTATGAAAAAAAATAAAGATGAGAATACCTAGTGAATCATTCTACATACATATTGTTACTGTTTAAATAACAGATATTTCAAAAAAAAAATAATGATAATAATAATAATATTGTTTTTTGTAATACATATTATAAGAAATAAAACTTTACAAAATTTAAACTAATTGTAAAACATAATATCACAGAAAGGAAGAATAAAATATTTTTAAAACCGATGTTCAAAGCCTTTGGCCATGCCAGTCCATCTATTAGGTACTGACAAAAAATACAAATTCATTGCAGCAACAAATCGATTCTTGTACTCCTCTGGAGAAATTATTGTAGGTAATTTACCTTGACCACCAAGGAGTCCTGATTTTTTTACCATTGTTTCTATTTTTTTGTCCCATGTAAAAGTACGAATGTAATCTGTAAAAAGTTTTTGTTAACTAAAAAATGTTAAAATATAAATAATACATTTTTTTATTTAAAGTATTGAAAAATTAAAAGAAAAAACAACAAAACTACTCTTGATTATTACGTTATCATGAAACTTATTCAGAACCCCATTTGTATTTTTAATAAAATAGTTTTATGGTGATAGAATCTTTATTTAAGAAAAATAAAGTAACGTACTTAATTAAAGTAAATTCAAAAATTGTTAAAAAAACTATTTTAAAAAGCTTAAATTAATACCAAGTATATTTTCAAGTAAATTATGACAAACAAATTAAATTTCTACAACCATTCAACTTAATCACAGTTTTTAAAACCAACATATTTTAGGAAGTGTGTAGAATTTTGTTATTAATATGCCGTCATTTTTTAAAAATAGCTTAGACCTTAATTATTAAAATTAAAAATTACCAATGATTCCTAATACTAATTCACCAGAATCTTCATCTAAGCCAACTAATAAAGAATAATCCATGACAAGTTGTGAGGTAAGAAATTCTGAGTCATCATTGATTGCTTGATTTAAAATTATTTTAGAATGAGGGTGAACATATAATGGCGATTCACATGACACTAAAATAGGAACCATGGTTATTTTAGGTTATATTACTATAAAATTTAAAGTCATAAAAAAATTAAAAAGATGTTTATAAGAAACTTACTTTTAATGAGATTTTCATCTAATAATACAATTTCTCCATCTTGTGAATTTGGATCAACTAATCTATTTCTAACAGATCCTTTTAGATCAAATATATGAGAAATATTTTTATTGTAGAAAAGATTCTCCATCACTAATAAATTTGAATTAAATGACGATCCTTTGACAGTATTTCGATATCTTACTTTATAAACTCCAACAATCTTGCATAAAAGAGTGGGTCGTCTATTTGTCTGACGTGAGTGTATGTACGCAAAATATTGAGGAGCAAATTCTAAAAATGGTAATATCTCTAAACGAGATATTTCCTTCAATACAAACCTATCATCTAATAATAAAAAATATTTTTTAATTTTATATAATAAATAAAAATATAATTAACAATAACAAAATAAATTAAAAATTTAACTTTAATTACCTTTTGTTTTACAAAAATTTGATCCTGATTTTCCACCTCTAGCTGACCATGAAATACACCTTGCTAAAGAACGTATGTACATTTCTTCTCCTGATACAAAGAATGTTTCCCTTAATTTTGCAAATTGTTTAGCAAAATAAACTTTCACATAGAAATTGGTTGTAGAATCTGAGAAGGTTATCTGTATGAAAAAAAAAAATAGCGGATACATTTAAAAAACAAAAAAAAATATATACATTTGTAAGATTGTAGTACATACCTCAATGTGTTGTTTTGATTTTTCATCTGTTTCTTTTTGATCATTATCTGGTTCAACATGTTCAACAGTTGATCTATTCAAATTTTAAATAAATAATGGTAATTTAATAAATATATATAAATAGAGCTATTCAGATTATTATGATAAAACTAAAATCATATTAAGATGTTAAACAATTTTGTAAATACAAAATTTGAATGACCATATTTTTATTGATATTAAATTATTTTTGTTTACATTAATTCTGTATTTGATATGTTGTTGTGGTAAAATGATGTACTCAATGTGAATGCAATAATGGAACTGGGTTCTTTTTCATAAATTGATATAGGAATACGACAGTGTATGTTCAATACATGGTGTTCAGTAAGTTCTATTGGATTCTATAAATTATTGAAATAATTCACTATAATATATTAAGATATTACACTTTGAAAATTTATAAATATTTACAGAAATAACTGCAGGTGGTGTAGATGATGGTAAAAATTGTGATAGAATTGTTTTGACACTTTTTTTATCGTTTTGTGACATAGATAATTGAGATTTAGGTTCATTTAGTACATTACTGTCGACTGAAAAAGAACAAAAAAATATTTATTATATTGTTAATGCTTATTTTCATAATATCTACTAACAATCATCAATAGCATCACTGTCACTATCTGTTGTAATATCACTTTGTGCTTGTGGTACAGATAAATAACATTTTTCACTTTGGCACATGTCAGAATCATTCAGATTTTCAAAATCATGATCAGCAGCTATTTCTGATTCAGAAACTAATGAATGTTGGCTCAGATGACTTGTTATGTTATGCTCTTCGATAACAAAGCGACTTGAATCACATTCAAAATTTATAATTTCTTCTAATACTTCTGACAAATTATTTGATTTGGTTTCGCTTTTCTTCTGAGATTTATCTTCTTTTTTAATAGCAGTTTCTATTTTTATTAATTTAGAATTCCAATTGATTGTTGCTTCACTTACTGCTCTCTTCAATAAGGTCATTGAATCATCCAACTTCCATATTGTATTTAATACTGCCCCTAATAATATATATATTATAAAAAATAAACATATAATGAATACTATATTCCAGGGTTTCCTAAACTCTTGTTTGAGTTGGCCAGGTAATTAATATTTTTCCTCTCTGTAACCTATCAAAATATTTTACATTTATCATTGCATAAAAAAAGGTAAAATAAAACACATTTGAATGTCTAATTAAATTTTATAATACAATTGAAGCATAATTTTTAACAACAATGTAATAATTATAATATATTTACTAATTATATTAATTGACTACTATCAGTGAAAAGTATGAAGCTGTTTATTTTTAACTAAAAACTACAAGTTTGCTGGAAAAGACATTAATTTTATTCTTAAATCTAGTTTGATTTCTATATTTATTCTTCAGAAACAGGAGTGTTGAAAATTATTCTTATGTTTATAAATAATAATTATTCATATTAATGAATTTATTTATATGAAAAGTCCAAATTATCAAATAAAATGATAAATAACATTTAATACGAGAATTTTATTAATTCTAAAACTCGGTACTAAATTTTTGTGGCCTGGTAGTGAGTTATGACCCTTTATTTGGGAAATGCTACTATAATCTATTAAGTTAAGTAGGAAGAAACTCGGCTGCAACCAGTTTTTTTCAGGCCATGATCCATGTCTCTGTGCAACAGTTAGTTGCCGAGGTTTTT